CCCGAGTTTCAGTCCCAATTCTCCACCTACTGGCCAGGTGACATCTGGCCAATTATTCAGGATGTTAAAGTGTAGAACCATGATCGCTAACTTCCAGGGCTGTCGTGATACGAAGCAGACACGGCAATGCCTGGCACTGAGCAAGGAATTTAGGGACGAGTTCAAGATTATAGATAAACACATACCTACCTGGTGAAAGTCAGCTGAACTGACAGAACTTAGTTATGTCACATGGTGCTGTCAGCGAACAGAAGATGATTTTCATAAACACCAACAGACACAGGCTGGATTGTTTCCGCGACAGCGCGTGTTCTCAATAAAACACCTAGGTTCTCTCTTTCGGGTAAGTGTGCGTGTGTCCCCGCCCCACCCGGGGGTGCCACCCTGGCTGACAGTCTGCTCTGTGCTGGGGCTGTGGCACCCAGTGTGGCTTCACCCTAAGGGACGTGGCCCAGAAGCTCCCCGGGTCTTCAGCATTCAGCACGACTTCCTCAGAGAACCCCATCATGCAGACGCAGAACGAAAAACTAGCTGTGCTCTCCGACCCGAGAAGCCATCAGCATCACGTCTGGCTAAGGCGGTCTCTGGGCCGAGAGGCAGCTTCACTTCCACCCCGAGACCAGCGGGCGGCCGTACTCCCCTTGCGGTTCTTCGCTTGGATCCGTTCCGAGCTTCATGGCTGAGCCAGCGGCGTGAGTGGATCCCGGGGGACGCAGCCGTAGCACACACCTTCCCGCCGTGTCCTCGTCCTCTGCACGAGGGTCCCGTGGCTGCTGGAACAAATTTCCCCAAACCTCGTGGCCCAAATAGCCCAGGTTTATCAGGCACAGTGATGCGCTTCAGCGTCTGAAACAGCTTTTACTTTGTATTTATTATTCCTTTGTATCTTTTTAAATGTATCTTTATCGTCGAAAGTATTACAGATGTTCCCTTTTTTGAAACAGTTCTTAACTCAGAGTTGGCGGAGCTGATTCTTCCTGGAGGCTCTGGGGTCAGGGGGGCCCCCTTTCCCGGCTTCAAGGTGCTGTCCAAGCTCCGGGGCCCCGTGGCCTCTCCTCTGCCTTCAGTGGTGAGTCGAGTCCTCACATCGTGTCTGTGTCCCTCTTGCACGGATCAGCTGGTGATAATCCAGGGCGCCTTCCCTGATGGAACTCCAGGTAACAACCCCGATTCTCAGGCTTGGGCTGTAGGTACCTGAAGGGCTGGTATTTTACTGTCACACAGAACAAAATGACAAGGTGCTGCCTGTCAGAGACTGAGGGTCTCACACAGGCAGACTGGGGCTCTATGACCCAGTTCCTGTTGCCCACGGCAGACCACGTGGCCGTGTGGGAGGCGCCTTCCTCATCCACAGTGACGAGGTCCGCTCCGAAGCGATGGGCGACCACCATCGACGTCTCTGGCAGCCACACTCTGCGGCAGACTTGCAGGGAGAGCATCAGAAAGTCCCGAGGGGTGGGTGGTGCCAGTGGACGGGGGTAGCAAGTGTCTTTGTCGTGTGTCTGTTTAACCAAAAGCTCTTACAGGTGTGAACCTCTGAGTATGACAGACGGAATCATTTCAACAGGGGACAGAGAAACAAGCCTTTCCGGTCCGTGGCTTTCACCTCCAGGACAGAGAAGAGGTGGGGGGTTGACAGACGGTGGGGGCAGTGATCACTGTCAAGGTTCTGGTCGCCGGCCAGGTGAACCGGCTGCCACAAGTCTTCCAGGTGCAGCCTGAAGCAGGCGGGGCAGGAAGTGCTGTGCGGATGCACCTGGTCCCCCCACAGTGTCCTTGGGCGTCTGTGCCCGCGAGCGTGACCCCGCAGTGGGAAATAGGTCAGGGAACCAGGCAGCTGAGCCTGCGTGGACCTGACAGGGCGGTCGGACCCCCAGCTGGTGGTCTGTGAGGTTTAGAGAGGGAATCGTGGTCACCGGGAGGCGGCCCCCCTCTGTCAGGCCACTTCAGAAGACAAGGCGGGGGGTCAAAAATAGATGAAAGAAACGTAAAATCCAAAATGCAGCTATGAACCGTGGCTGCGTCCTCTTAAAAAAACACCCAAAACTGTTGTAAGGGACATAGCTAGAATATCGGGGGGACTGAAACTGGATGGGATTAGGAATTATCGTTAACTTTCTTAGTGACAACAATGGGGTTGTCCCCATGCAGAAGGATGACATTTTTAGGAGACACAGGCTAACAGCGTGATGCCTGAAACGCACTTTGAGGAAGTTCAAGCAACCAATAAATAAAGTGCGTGCACATACACACACACTCACACACACTCACTGACACACTCACATAATCACACACACACTCATCACATGCACTCACATTCTCACAATCACACACACTCACACACACAACCACACACTCACACACACTCAGTGACACACTCACACTATGAGAAAATGGCTGAATGCCGAGCGCAGCTGCTGAGGCCAGGCCGTGGGCGTGTAGACACCATCACGTTATCATTTCAGCCCGAGTGTTGTTAAACGTCTACAGAGAAAAGCGTGGGCTGCGCCAAGCCAGCGACATCTCTTCTCCGCCCAGGGCTCCGGGAGGGGATGACACAGGGTCCCTGTGGTCAGGTCCGTGGAGGACAGTCTTCTGCAGGTCAGGAGCACGGCCTGGGTGAGCCACTCCCCTGTGAGCTCTAGGTGTGAGCTCCGTGTGTCCCACGCCTCTCAGAGTTGGGGGGGAGGGACACTCTCTATGGCATTTCCCTCCGTGTCCAGGTGGTCGTGTCTGGCGAGCACCACAGTGTCATTGGGGCCTCAAGGACGCCCTCTCCTGGGCTGTGCAGTCACACAAGGCCTCGCTCGGGGGCGGCCACCAGAATGTTCCTCCCGCTCTGTGTTGGCTGCCTGTATCCACCCTGTCGCACGCTTTCTCAATGACTGGAGGACACGCAAAGAGTTCACAGAATGTGCAGGTGGGACACCTGCGTGGGGAGGAACTGGGATCCAGGACGAACACCTCAGTAACAAGCCTGTACCCCTGAGCCCTGTGGAGGCCGGGCAGGGGCGGGGCAGGGGTCTGGGCCGCCTCGGACCCTACAGACACAAGACCCTGAGTTCACCAAGCCAACCTGTGACTCGCCCACAGCTGTGAACTCGCACTGGGTGGGTGAGAAGGCCCAGGAAACACCCGCCCTTGGAGGGCTGCCACCTTGCCTGGGTCTGTCCGGAGAGGCGGGGCCCAGCGGCTCCGCTGTCGCCAGGCCGGCCCTGTGCACACACTCGAAGGTTCTACAGGTCACGCTGGGGGACGCGCGGTGAGCAGGGCAGACGACCGTGGTGCATGAAGTCAGACATCCTGTGAGACTCGCGGTCCAGCTTCAGGAAGAACCTGAGATCCTGGCAGCCCCGCGGTGCAGACAGTGACGCGGCATCCACCCCTGCTCCGGCCGCCTCGTGTCTCAGGCGCGTCGGGCGGTCCCGGCGGCACCGTCACAGTTCACGGCACCGTGTGCAGGTTCTCTCTACGCCCAGATCCACGAGCGTGAGTCTGCCCCACGACGGCTTTTTCCTTCCGTCTCAGCCGTGCCGGCGGCTTGTCCGTGACGCAGCAGAGGGGAGTCCCCGGGGAGTCTGCTGGGTGTTCGCCACAGCAATAGGCCCGCTGCCACCCCGACCCTGCAGCAGACTCAGCGGAGGCCAGAAAAGGGGGTGGAAGCAGACACCCCAGGATCTGCCTTGATGTGCATCTCACTTGTGAGATTTGAAAGGACTTCCCAGGGGACGGTCTGTCAACATGAGCCAGGGCCCCTTGGAGGTGACTAAACCGGAGCTGTCCTGCATGGGGGTTCTGCTTAGAGTTTGGGAAAACTCTAAACCAAAGGTGGTTTGGAGAGAAAATCCGTTCCGAGTGTTTAGGCACAGTGTGTGTCTCAAATGTTCACCTGTGAGCGTTTGAAGTTTACGTCCACGTCCACCCAAAACCGTCTCAGGTGAGTCACAAGGCCAATGAGGCGGCACCCCGTCAGCACGGAGGACACGGGTGTAACTCCCTGTGTCCCCACCTGTCAGGGAGAGAGGTGACCCCCGGGGTAGAGGTGACGGGTCACCTAGGGGACGGCGTTGGCACAGGGTGCGCTCGGTGTGGGCGGTTGCCGGGTTCACACAGCCTGGTGCCCCCAGGTGCCCTGCGGTCCTGAGTCAGCCCTCACCTGGCCGGGGCCGCAGGGCCGGAAACTGAGCCCAGTCACGTGTCTGGGTCCTTCGCTTTCCAGTCAGTGTTTCTGTTATTGCTCCTGTGTCTCTATCTCTCTCTCTCTCATTATAAACAGAACCAAACATTTTTGTTTAGGGTGATTCACCATTTTCGAGTTCCCAGCAGCCGGCGGGTGAGCAGCCCTCCAGCCTCATCTGGAAGAGCCCAGGGTGGGGAGAGAGGCCTTCCGGAGGGTCTACTTGCCCCAAACAGCCTCCTCTGCCCTCCCTGCCCTCCCCCCGCATCGGGGGCCCTGTGGGCACAGAGGCCTTGCTCGGAGCACCGGTGTCTCTGTCGGGGTCCCTGGACGGTAGGTGCTTCATAACTCACGTTAGCGGGTTGACTGGACTTGCGTGTTGCTTCCCCTCCGGCAGCGCTGAGCTCACCGCAAGGCTGAAGCTGCCAACGTAGCGACCACCATGCACCCCGTGCCCACCGGGCGCTGGCCCCCACACTAACTCCCCCCACCTCACAGCTGGAGCGTTGCCAGGGCAACGGCGTGACTAACGACAGATGAAGAGGCTCAGAGAGGTTGAGAAACAAGCTTCAAGTCACACAGTGAAGCCTCCAGCAGAGCGAGGACAGAGCCCTGGACCCCAAAGGGAGACATGAACCCCGTGTTTTCAGACGGGGGGGGCGCCCAGGGTGATGTCCACACTGCGCTCAGAGTGGGGGCAGGTTGTGGCAGAGAGGGGCACGGTGCAGGGGGAGGCCCCAGCCCTGAGGACAGCAGCAGGGGACAGTGGGGACCGGAGGCGAACCGTCCACCCTCTCCCGGCTGAGCTCCCGGGGGTACGTACAGGTCAGCACGGCCGGGCAGCGGTTCTTGGGCAGGTTCTCCTCCCTCTGGGCCACGAGCGAGCTGTTGGGCTCCGCCTGATAGGCACACAGCGCCTCCCACTCCTTCTCCAACCGGTTCTTGTTCCTCAGGTGGTCCTCCATGTAGGCCTGCAAGGGAGACACGTCAGGGAGCCTCCCAACAGCGAGGCCCCGAGAGGGTCTGGACACAGGCGGCCGGGGAGGTGCAGCCCACATTTCACCTCGTGCGCCAGCTGGGGCGCCGGCCCCACCGGGCTGGCCAGACACCCAGCCACCCCGACTCGGGACATGCGGCAGAGGCTTTGCTCGTGCTCCATGGGTCAGAGGTGTTTGTGCCGTTGACCGCAGGGCCGAGCCTGGGCAGAGAGGACCTCAGGTCACGACATCACCTCCTCAGCTGAGACGTGACAGGAAGGACACGCGGGTGGTAGACCAGATGATTAACCACCAAGCACGGGCCGGAAAGTGCATCCGGCCAGGGGGACCCGGGGAGAAAGCAGGTTCACTAGGAAGGTGACGGGCTGACGCAGGTCAGGACCGGGACCGGCCCCTGAGCAGGTGTGTCTCCGAGGGAACAGTCCTCTCGAAGGACGTGAGGCTCTGAACGTCTGGCTGGGGTGTTGGAGAGGTTTCGGGGACAGAACGCTGCTCTGTGTTGGAGGATGACAGGGCTGCACAGTTCGTGCCACATGGGGGGACTCGGAGGTTGTGGGTAAGGACACGGGGGACACGGGGGCTGTGGGTAAGGACTCGGGGGGACACAAACCACTGACACACCTCCGCCCGGAAGGCGCCTCAGTAAATAATGTTCTGCATTGAAAGTCGTTTTCCTTTTCTGAGCGCGCTGGTCACGAACAGATACTACGTTGCAATTACTGTTTGAAGGTCCCACTGAAACTATGCCACACCAGCCTTTCCCGCTCCCCTTGAAGTCTGTGGAGGCGGTGGATTCAGAAAGCCCCTCAGACAGAGTGGGGCCGACGAGACCCCCAGCAGGGAAGGCCCGTCACCGTCACCTGTCACCTCGTGCAGACAGACGGCTGCTGTTTAACGGAGAGATGCTGTCTCCTCGGGTGCTAACGGCACACAAAGGAAGTGGGGAACACCGGCCCCGATGCTCACACCCACCGGTCCCCACGGACGGCATGTATTTTAACCCCGTGGCCGGGAGCGCCGACCGGTCTCGCTCCGTCTCGGTCGGCACGGAAGTCATTCCCTGCGACCGGCTGCTTTCCTGAGTCCCCCGGTGCGATGCAGCGAGGACCCGAGCCGCCCCGTGTGCACGAAACTGAATAGCTGCTGTGGTAACAGAACCAAGGCAGAACCAACAGACCCAACGCTCTGACCCCTGCCCTGCTGAGCCCTGATTTTTCAGGGCACGCAAAGCCCCCAGCAGCCAGGCGGCAACGGGGCTCGAGCCCGTGTCTGAAATGCCGGCTTCATCGTGTCTGTGTGGCCGGCACCCTGGGCACCTCCCTCGTTCCTTTGCAGGGTGGCCAGTCCCGGGTTCTGGTTCAAAATACCACCTACTCGGGACCACCCGGTGCTAGATGAGCCCTGGCCTTCACCCAGCCTGTGACCGGTCGCCAACCCTCCACCCAGGAAGACCCTCCCCGCCTGGGCCCCGCCCTCCCCCACCCCCACCCTCCCCCACCCCCGCCCTCCCCCACCCCACCCTCCCCCACCCCCACCCTCCCCGCCTGGGCCCGCCCTCCCCGCCTGGGGCGCACGAGCCCTCCTGCCCTGGTCTGTCCCGACCCCAAGTCAGCGCTGGCGCCTGCTCCTCCAACTCTGATCCCCTCCCCACAACCCCGCAGGCCCTCGAAGTCCAGCTCTGCCTCTGACATCAGTCACGTCTCCCCTGTGTGACAGCCGTGGGCGTCAGGGTCCCCCTCTCGGGGGTGCGAGGTCGCCTGTTTGCAGAGTGGGGCTCTGGGCACAGGGTCAATATTTTGGGTTGGCCGCAGCCCGGGAATTTTCGCAAGTAACCGGAATCCCAGACGCGAACGTCATACCCGTGATGGGCATGTGCCTTCGGGTCTACTGGGACTTAGAGGAGCTGCCGGGACAGGAACACGGGGCTCTGGGGTGATCCGTCGTTTCCCTGCTGCCCTGTTCCTTTCTGGGCGACGCAAGCAGCCCCTGGCGTCCTGTACCGGCGAGCAACTTTGGAGGACAGCAAAGTTCAGAGAGGTCCCCCCTCGGCCCCCTGCTTCTCCAAGCCTGAGCCCCCCGGGTCTGCGCTGTGGGCCCAGAAGTCTCAGTCGTCCTGGGAACCCGATGTCAGGAGCTGGGCGTTTCTAGACCCCTCGTCCCAACGGGCTGTGAGCTCCTGGTGCGTGGGGACCCGTCATCCCGATGTGTCTTGTTACGCAGTCCAGCTCCGGGAGCCTCACGGCACGGGCTGTTAACTGTGGGCGGAGCCAGCCCGTGCAGGGTGACCCCACACCTGGTGCACCCCGGAAATGCAAACCACGCAGAGTGGGTGCCCAGAGCAGCCGGGTCGATCTGAAGAGCTAAGTTCACTTGGACGCTGTGGCGGGCTCTTCCTTCACCTTCCCAAGTCGCTCTCCACACTTGGGGTGACGGGTGGGCTGCGGGGGCCCCGGCGCAGCCCGTGTGCATGCTGTTGAAGTCCAGCGGGTTCTGGACGAGTCCTGAGTGGGACGTGTCGAAGCCTTGAATTCTGCTCTTTCCAAGGACCTGGCCTCAGGGGCTTGCAGAAGGGACAACCGCAGCTCAGACGCTCTTGGGGGAAAGTCCTGAGGTTTCGGGAGGTGGGTTTTCCACGCCAGGAGCCCACACGCACCGTGGCCCTCAGACCCCGCGGCGTCAGCATCTACCACAGGCTAAGATGCTCTTGGATTTCTTTGAGCTTTTTTTCTTTTTGCCTGTTGAGAACAACATCAGCTTTCGTGAGCCCTGTTGTGAGCTATTAACCCAATTCCAGGACTTCCGCCTTCCAGCCCCCCCATCTCTCGTCGTCTTCTTCTTCTTCTTGGTTTTCTTTTCTGGACACCAGGACCAGGACCTACGATCACAGCTGCCCAAGTACCATAAAGTCACGCTTCTGAAGTCTCCTGGTGGCGATTCCGCACGCAGACCAACCAGGGTGACCGTGTGCCAGGCAGCAGCCTGTCCTCTCTTGTCCGGCCACACGACCGCCCTCTGCGCAGGAGGCTACGAACCGCCTCTGGGTGACAAGGACCCCGTGCCCCGGGGTCACCTTTCAGAGGACAGTGTCCGTGTCACACGGCACCCCAGGCCGCGGGGACAGACGCGCGGTCGCCACTGCACACGGAGACGTGCCCACGGCGAGTCGATCTGGCCCGAATCGTCCCTGTGCCGTCTCCCGATTGGACTGCTGACCCCCCGAAGACAGGAAAAGCAATTTCTAGGAAAATGGAGCGTCTGGGATGCTCCGGAACATAACAGCGTTTTGTTAATAACCACAAGAACGCGGCGAACCTTCCGGACGACGTGAGCATCCTTCACAGAGCTTTCACGGTGCCCGAGGGGGCTTTTCTGCACAGGGAGGCAACTGGAATACGGGGAGGAGGCGCGGGACTTGGTTCTGAAAGACCTGAGTGCAGTAAACAGAAGGGCTGGTCCCCACCCGGCGCTGCCTCTGCTGTGCCGGGGGTGACCCGCCCCGTCTCACCACCTGCTCACGCGCAGGGGTTGGGGCACGGCGAGTCGGTACAGGGTGTGCATGGCTGAGCGGGTCGCGGCTTTTCACCAGAAACAGAAGCCACCTTCTCAGTTCTCTTCCACGCCCCGAGGCCGAGCTGCATTTCTGGGGACGTTCACCCTCGAGGAGGAAACAGGGCACCTAAGTGCCCCCAGGCGCCCGCCACTGACTACAGCGTGAACGCAGAATTGAAGGGGCGGGAGCACCTTGTACCACGGCCAGACGCTGGCGCGGGACGGCGCCGTTCGTCCCCCGACAGACGAGAACCGGTGGCAGCCCCGGTGCCCAGTGCCCGCGCTGCTCCCTGTTCCGAGGGAGTCTCTCCCCGGCCAGTGTCCTCGTGTGGGAGGCCCGGGCGACCCCGCTGTCACGCGGAGTTGGCTGCCAGCCCCCCGAGGAGTCAGGGCAGGTTCCAGACTGTCCCCGCACCCGTTTCTTTTCTTTGTTACTGTTTGAGAGGCAGGTCTTTCGGGCCAGTCTCGGGCAGTCCTGGGAAGGCCGGTCTGACTCGACGTGAACGTGAGATCCCGACTTACGCCCGAGGTCGCGTCAGTAGCTGACTGTCAGGGGCACTGTTCACTGGTGTCCACACCGGAGGTCCGTCCGGGGTCACTAGGAAAATGACCCCACTGGTGTGTCCCACACACAACACCCTCCCGTCTCTGGACACTGAGTGACGCAGTGCGGACACCGGGAAGGGTCGTCTGAACCCCGCCCACGGAGCAGGTGCCCTTAGCTGCCGAGGTGCCCACGGAATCCATGTGAGCCGGCCAGAGCCTGGGGTGATGCTGCAGTTTTACCTTCATTAAAAGTCACAGAAATTCTGTCTCATTTTAGCATCTCGCCATAAGCCGCGGTGGGCTGAGATACGGGGTGTGTTGTTATCGAGGAGAATAATACACTCCTCATGAGACACGAACACTCAGAGGGACAGTGGCCATTTAAACAAGCAAAGCAGGGCCCTCTCGGCTGTCTCGTCACCCAGAACCCGCCCACGCCGGCGTCTCTGGGGACACCTCGGCTTCGTGGGTCTTCCTACACGAGACAAGCAGAAACGGCCCCAATAACACTTCCTTTCACAGGGACACTGCGGAAATACACTCCTGTCTGTGTGGAACGGCACAGCGACGAAAGTGGGGTTCCAGGAGACCCCGTCATTCCTGGGAAAGCTGTTGGACTCCTCCCTTTACCTCAGGGTCCCCCAACACAGGGCCCCCCAACCCCTGAAGGACACACCCAGCTGCACGTCGGCCTGTGAGGACCGGAGTTTGCGCTGGGAGCCGAGCCACCGGACGAAGGTTAGACGACGTCCCGTCTTCATGAAAACGCCTGTGTTACGTGTGTGTCCCCAAAGTAAGACGTTTGCGTTCCACGCGAGGAAATACGGAGGAGAAACCAGATGGGCTCGCTGTCTAGGCGGAGCACCTGCTGGGTGGGG